TAAGCGTACAAGATAATGAGGGGTAAACGACTATATATAGGGGGTAAATCCGGGGGCATCCCCGTAATTCCCTCAGAAGGTGAATAATAAAAAAAAGTGGCGGTAAAATTACCACCAATGGATGAGTGACGCGTGTCACAGATGCCACATGGCATGCCACATCACATCTGTTAGGGGCAAATGTTAAGGGTAATTTTACCCCACCACGTGGTCCAATAAGAGGGTGACACGTGTCGCCCAAGGGTTAAACCAAAATGGACCAATCTTTGCTTGACACGTGGCACTCCAAAGAAATGGGAGAAAAGGCGGCCTTCAAGGTCCAAATCCCGAGAAAGCCGCAATGCGGCGCAGCCAACCAATGATTAGGGGAAGATGACCTAATCAGGGGCATTATTCCCGAGGACCCTATAAATAGGGAGATTCCCTCCACTTGGAGGGCACGTTTTACCATTTTTTATACAATTAATCTCTTTGATAGAGACATCCTGATCTCGGAATCCGAGAAGATACCCACCTAAATTTCCGTACCTTTTTACTCCTATTCAAGTACTAACTTGATTGTCGGAGGCGGAGCTCCAACCACCCGGAGTCTCCGTGTTTTTGCAGGTACAGCTCAAGCCGGACCAGACTTTGTGATGTAACTCTCCCGAGGGACAAAAACACCCAAAACACCCTCCATCGTATTGTTTCATTTCACCCAAAAATCTTGTTTAGAAATCAAAGTCTTATTTCACCATTTTAATTTACTCTTCACACTTAATAAACACCAAGAGAGTGTTTCAAGTAATGCGACATTTTCATATTTTAGTAGATTTTTTCGATTATGAAAATTTGACATCATTAGATGCTAGGTAATTACTTTACAATTGAATAAATTTTTTTTCTAAGTTTAGAATAAATTATACTCCCTTTGTCTTAGAATAATTGACACAATAAAGCTTGAAACATATGCCAATGCACAAAAATACAAGACCTTAAATATATATAATTTAGTATGAAAATATTAAAAAGTTGATAATGTGAAACATTTAAGGGAAAATTGCCACCATGCATTAATCCCAGATTTGCTGCATCCGCCGATATTAATCCCTACATCAATTTGTTCCCTATCACTCCCAACTTTGCACCCTATTAATTTTTATCACCCCCAACCGGTCATCCAACTTGATGTAAGAGGTTACCAGACACGGGGCAACACGTGATAAGCCCGAAAATAATAAATAATATAGATAAGATAAAATAAATAAATTTTTTTTTTAAAATTAGAACCTTAACCTCTACTCCAGCAGGTGGAGCCCTTGCCACCTCCGGCAAGCGGCAACCCTTGTCTCCTCCGGCCCACTTCCCTTCCCCCTCTATTTCCTTGTCCATTTCTGACAATCGCCCGCTTCTACTTTTGCCTCTGATGGTGACGGTTTCTGCAGCCACACATTGCTCCTGATGTTAGCTACTGCTACTGCCATCGGTTGTCGCGCTAGCTGCGGCGATTACTACTGCTGCCGCCGTTGGTGGTGGCGATACAACGGCGATTGTTGCATCACTACTGCTAACTATTAGCTCAGTTTTCCTCCAGCAGTCCCAAAAACCGGCTACCTGTTGAAAGGGTAAACTTTATTTTTTGTTTTCTAAATGCCACATGTCAGCACATGATTGGCTTTCTTTTTAAAAAAAAGAAATAGATCAGCCAATTAGCCCAACCAACCACGCCGTTCCTAGCCACCCACAGGCAATCGAAAATGGCTTACCACCTTCCTGACCTCCCAAAAATGGTCGGCCGGCCCTCCTTACCCTCGAAATACACACCCCCAATCGACCCTAACCCCCTAAAATCACTCTCCTCCCTTCCCTTCCCTTCACCGGAAAATCGATTCAAACTTAAACAAATAAACACCACCCATTCCTCCACCACCAAAAACGCCCCTTCTCCATTTCCCCACTCTCAAAATCGTCCATTTCGGTGGTGGGAGAAGGGAGGAGGGGCAGTTCAAGCGGGGGATTCAAGTAGGGGGTCAGGTTTCGAGGGTTGTTGTAGCTTAGGTTGGTGGTTTTCCGGGTTGGCGTGGGCTAGGTTGGTGGTTGTAAAGGTCGGGGTGGGTTAGATGGGTGGCAAAGGACTGGCAGGCCGGTTTTGGTTGTTGATATGAGTGGCTAGCTGGTTTCCGGTGGAGGCTAGGGCACGCGAGCGGTGGCTGCTGGGTTTCGGGGTTTGGGGTTTTTGTTTTTTTATTTTTTGTTTTAATTTTTTTTAAAAATTTAGACCAATTACGTGTTGACACATGTTATGGTACCTATTATAACAGGTTGTTGACTTTGTGTTGACCGGTTTGGACTACTGGAGGAAAACTGAGCTAATAGTTAGGATTAGTAGAAAATAAATGTAATTAGTTGGGATTATTGTAGGTAAATCGCTCATAGTTGGGATTATTAAAGTGTATTTTTCCTTCATTTTTAGCAATTACAATCATTATTTTTAAAAATGAAGTGTTGACATGAATTTGAAGTACACGTCTTTGCCTAAGCTTAGAGAAGGGTGTCACGTGTCACAACAACTCTCTTGAGAAATGCTTCTTTTTAATATTATTACTAGGTATCAAGAAAGATTGTATATATCACAGTATTTGTATAAGAAATAAATCTGTATCAATAAGGATTCATAATCATAGAACAATATCAATACAATTATGAAGAAATATGTATTGATATGGATTTTATTAGTATCCAGTGTGAATGAAATCTGTAGCGATACAAATATTTTGAGTATCAAATAGGATTAATAGAAATTATCTTTTCACACCTTTTATCTTTGAAGTGTCGTTTGATAATTGGTTTCATACAATTCACCATTGTTAGGGTTTTGGTTTTCTCTCTCTCTCCTCTAGAAAGGGGGATGAGTTATGAGTTTCGGCGGAAATAAATTAAGGAGGGTTGGTTTAGGGTTCGGTATTGAATAAGAATGGGCTGGGGATACAAGTAATTGTTTTTGGGCTTAGAAAACTTAGCATAATGTAGAATACGGGGTAAATGGAAACAATTAACGACAATTTGATGGTCTAGAGTCCCGACTAGAGGTGATCATCAACATGGATGAAACTAATACGGTTTAAAATTGAATCGAATTGAAGCACAAACCAAATGAATTAATAGTGCGGTGTGTTTATTAAATAATATAGTTCGCTGCGGTTTGAGAAATTAAAAAAATTACAGTTTGTGTTTAGTTTCGATTTTAGGATTTGACAAACCAAACCAAAATATAGGTTCATATCTAAATTGCAGCCCAAATCTAATTTTCAGCAAAAAATATATACGACCAAAAATAGTTTATGTTTGTTCGGCCCAAAACAGTAATAAATAAAAACCCGGCCAAAACACTATGCACAAAAAATTGCAGTGCAGTTTGTTTTTTTTTATTTTTTTTAAAGAAAATGAATAAAAACAGTGTGATTAGATTTTGACCAAAATATAAGATGGTCTAGTGCAGTTTGAAAAATCCCAAACAGAACTAATATGGTTTAGTTTTGGTTTAGGCTATAAACCACAACGCAAACCAAACTTTCACCCCCTAATCATCAATGATCCGACTCACTAGTCTGATCTAGACCAGCTCGTAAATAGTGTGAGTTTTGACAAGGCTAAAAACACTCTTTTAGTTCTAAACCTGAAAAGTCCTAAAAAAAATCAACTCGAAAAGTGAGCTCTTTTTATTTTCTTTTACCACCCAAAAGTGAGCTTGAGCAAGTGCATAGTATAATCCATACATATACATTGTACTCCCTCCATTTTGCATCAATTGTGACACTTTTCTTTTTCATTCAATTTATATTAATTTCAACAATTCCTTATCTGGTAAGGATATAATGCTACGAAGTATTTTCTCTCCAATTTTTAAATGCAACAAATTTGAATTTTTTCTACCATTCAATCAATGGCTTTGACCAGCTCAGTTAAGTTCAGTTCAGATCCTAATTTCCTTCTCTTATAAAATATTCATTTTATTTCTGTTTAGTTCAGTTCAGCTGATGCGTTCAGTCAATGAGAACAGGCCCTTAGCTTGTATTTTTAACTAATGTATAATAACTAAATTTTGTCATAGATGAATTATCTACAATATATACTTTGGAGATATCAAAATTTCATGATTTATATTAATAAAAAATTAAAGATTTTGATAATCAAAGTTTTGTATCGGTAAGTATGTCCAGCTAAGTTGTTGCAATTAAAAAACGGAGGCAATAATCCTTTTTTTTTACTCCTATCAAACCCACAACTTATGTTCACTTGGAAAGGCTCAAACCAAGGTGAGTTCCCACCAACTCTTGATTAATACTCTACTGGTACTAGCAAGTGTTAGTGATTAATATTGGGTAGAGGTGTCAGTTCGAATGATCAGATCGGGTTTGATGAAGTCGGGTCGAGTCTAATTTTAAATTATTGTGTTCACGCGATTTGAAATCTAAATTGAATATTTTTTGAGTCGGTTTTAAATCGGATCAGATGTGGTTTTGACCCTTCTAACATTGATGAGTACAAAATGGAGGGAGTATATTGTATCGCTTACAAAAACATATTTAAACCTCTGATCAAACCCGAACATTAAATTTTCCATATATAGAAAAGAATTAAGCTCTCTTTACTTCCCCTGCACACTGAACACTGATTAAATCTAGACTTTGAAGATTCTAAATTGCCATGGCACGAACACGATAGTGAAGATTTTGGAACGACTTCTTATATATTGTTAGACCTTGTATTATATTTAGCTAATGGGCCAATGTTAAGCCCTAATCTCTTCTCCTAGGTTGTATATAAATATTGTGAATACCGTAATACAACACACAGAAAATCATTTACACTAATCATCCTCTCTAATTTGACATGGTATTGGAGCCAAAATCAATCTAAACCCTAAAACTCTAAATTTTTTCTCTAATCTCTAAATCTCTATCACTACCACTCTAAAACTCTACACTCTAATCTCTATTTTTCTCTATTGATAATCGACAATGGGGGACGAAACAAAAATCGATCCTTCATCTCTATTCTACCTTGGTTCAGGTGATCAACCCGGAAACCTAATTTCTCACGTGATTTTGAAGGGTGAGAATTATCTACCATGGTCAAGGGATATGTCCCTATCCTTGAAATCTAGGCGCAAATTCGGCTTTGTAGATGGCACTATCTCCAAACCTACAGAGAAAAAGAAGATGCTTGATTGGAATACGGTAAACTCAATGTTGGTATCTTGGATTTTGAGGGCTATTGAGCCGAAAATTGCTGCCTCTATTCCGTACTTTGAAGAAGCTAAACGGCTGTGGGAATACCTAGAGAAGCGCTACTGTGAAGCAAGTGGTCCTCGCTTGCAACAATTGAGGGCAGCAATCACGAATTGCAAGCATTTTCCCAACATGACTGTCGAAGATTATTACACCCAATTGATGGGCTATTTTGATGACCTTTTGCGCCTTAAAACTCCACATGGATGCAAGTGTGGCTCTTGCTCTTGTGGTGTTGCTGCTGCATACGAGAAGGACAGGGAGGAGGAGATTTTGCATCAATTTCTGGTTGGTATTGATGATGCCAAGTATGCTACGGTCCGCACCAATCTTCTCCCTCAACAGCCCCCCGCAACTCTTGATCGTGCTTATCAAGCACTTCTTCAAGAAGAGAGTTCTAGGAGTATTGCTCAAACTCATAACACTGTGGCAGGTGAGGATGCTCATGTGTTTGCTCTTCCCTCGGATCGTAGACAATTTCAGTTGCCTAATCGGGTTGACAAATCAAAGCTTTATTGCCATCATTGCAAACGGCAAGGACATGACAATGCTGGCTGTTTTGTGCTCCTCGGCTACCCTAACTGGTGGCTGGAGAAGTATGGAAAGAAGGGTCGTGCCTCCCCTTCTGCTGCTGCTGCTTCTTTCTCAGGACAGCAGGGTGCTACCTCCAAAGGCCCTGCTTCTTTCTCGGGACAGCAGGGTGCTTCTACCTCTGCTGCTGCTGTATCCAACTCAAGCAAACCCCCGGTGCGTGCAAATGTCGTGGGCTGCTCTGGGGACTCCCCTCCTATTCCGCAAGATACTCTTTCTGCTCTCTCTGAATTTAAACCCGAGCATGTTCGCCTTCTTTTGAATATGGTTAATAACCAAAAAGAAAAAATGAGTGGTGAGTATTTTTCCCCATTTTGGATTATCGACACGGGTGCGTCTCACCATGTTACGGGGGATGCAACTTGTTTGATGAATGTGACTGATATTCCTCCGTGCCCCGATGGTGCACATGCTATGGCTACGAAGATGGGAAGGGTGCACCTAACATATTGCATTATTTTGGAAAATGTTCTTTTTGTTCCGGAATTAAATTGCAATTTAATTTCGGTCTCTAAAATGATTGATGATTCCCATTGTTTTATATGATTCACTGACTCTTTGTGTGCTATACAGGACCAACATTTGGGGAGCCTGATTAGAGGCGGTGAACGAATAGATGGACTATATTATTTCTGGCGACTTCCCAAAGTATGTGCGGTGACGGATCAAGAAGTGTCTACATTTGAGCTCTGGCATCGTCGTATGGGACATCCGTCGGACAGAATTGTCAAGTTAGTTCCTGCAATTAGTGCTAGTTCTAGTAGCAAACTTTTGAATAAAACATGTGATGTTTGTCCACAGGCTAAACAAACTCGGGATAGTTTTCCTGATAGTGATAGTAGGGCTAGTCGTATTTTTGAATTAATACATTGTGATTTGTGGGGGCCATATAAAACACCTTCTAGTTGTGGCGCTCACTATTTTTTTTACTATTGTTGATGATTTTTCAAGAGGTGTTTGGGTCTATTTGTTGAATGATAAAACTGAAGTTTATTCTTCGTTTTGCTCTTTCTTTTCTATGATTAAATGTCAATTTGAAGTTACTATGAAATGTGTGCGGAGTAATAATGGGACGGAATTTAAACACATGATTCCGTATTTTGATGAACATGGCATTCTTTTTCAAACATCTTGTGTTGGTACACCACAACAAAATGGCCGTGTAGAACGTAAGCATCAACATATTTTAAATGTCAGTCGTGCTCTAATGTTTCAAGGCAATTTGCCACTTACTTTTTGGGGTGAGTGTGTACTTGGGGTGGTTTATTTAATTAATCGTACTCCTTCTCGTGTCCTAGACAATAAGACTCCATTTGAAATGCTTTTTGGTGTTGCACCTAACTTTGATGAATTAAAAGTGTTTGGGTGTCTTTGCTTTGTCCATAATCAAAAGGCTAAGGGTGACAAGTTTGCACCTCGTAGTCGGAAGTGTGTGTTTGTGGGCTATCCTCATGGTAAGAAGGGATGGAAGGTGTATGATTTGGAGTCGGGTGACATTTTTGTTTCTCGTGATGTCAAATTTTTTGAGAATGAATTCCCTTTTGCGGATGATAGTCAAGTGGGTACGGACACTATGTCTAATGACAATGTAGGGGTTGACATTGATTTTTTGGATGACCTTGTACATATTTTAGAGATTGGTGAGGCCACCCTTGATCCCGAGCCTCAACCCGAGTTGCACAGCCCTGCTGCCTCCCCTGTTACTGCTGCTTCCCCTGCTGACTCTGCTCCCTCTTCCACATCTGCTGCTGTTGGCAGCCTGGACTGCAGCCCCATCGCGGCTTCCAGTACTGCCCGCAGCCAATCTGCTACTGCAGGGACTGCTGCCCGCCACCACAACGCAGGACAGTCAGCTGCTGCCACTGCCAGTGCTCCGGATAGCAGCTCCAACGCTGATCCGAGCACTCACTCTTCACCTCCTCTTAATTTGAGTCGTGATCAACGCAACATACATCCTCCTGGTTGGCACCGTGATTACGTCGCACATACTATTTCTCTTCCGGGTCCATCTATCTCTCCGAGTTCATCGTCTTCTCCAAGCTCCTCAGGTACTCCCTATCCTTTAGCACACTATGTGAATTGTGACAAATTTTCTATGCGCCATCGTGTCTTTATTGTAGCTATTGATACGGCAGTTGAGCCTCGTAATTTCAAAGAGGCTATGCAACATGAAGGGTGGAGGGAAGCTATGCAAAAGGAAATCTCCGCATTGGAAGATAATGAGACTTGGATTATGGCAACCTTACCTCCGAGGAAGAAAGCTCTCGGATGCAGGTGGGTTTATAAAGTGAAACATAATTCGGATGGCACGGTTGAGCGTTTAAAGGCTTGTCTTGTTATATTTGGCAATCATCAGGTTGAAGGTATTGACTACAATGAGACATTTGCCCCGGTTGCTAAAATGGTCACAGTTCGTGCATTCTTAGCTATTGCTGCGGCGAAAAATTGGGAACTTCATCAAATGGACGTTCATAATGCCTTGCTCCATGGTGATCTTGATGAGGAAGTTTATATGAAACCACCCCCGGGCTTCCATACTTCTAGTTCTGATTCGGTCTCACTAGTAGAAAAAGGCAAAAAGGCACCGCGCAATTGCCACCGGTTTTTAAGAACCGGTGACAAAAAAGGGGAAAAATGGGCGGGGGATAGTATTGCCACCGGTTTAAACCGAACCGGTGCCTTTCTAATTTTTTTAAAAAAAAATTGGCCCTCTCCCTTCAAGTTAAACCCTAGCCTCCTTTTCTCTCCCCTCTTTCCTCCTTCATTTCAATTCGTGTGTCTCTCTTCTCCCTTCTCTCTCCTCTTCCTTATGCATGCATCCTTCTCTGAGTCCATTTGGATCTCCTCTATCCTTCACTCTCGTCTCCTTCTCGTCCCCTCCTCCTCTTCTCTCGTCTCTCTCTTCAATCTCCCTTTATCGACCACCACCGCCGCCGCCACACTACTACCAAGATCGACACCAACAACAATTTTTTAATAATGAAGTGTCACCAGTCGTCCTCCCTCGTTGTCGTTGTTCGGTCGTCGTCAGTCGGTCGTCCTTCCTCGTTAATCAAAAACTTGAGGTTGGTTTTTTTGGGATCTTTATCTTTAATCTTTAATTCAATTATTCAATTTAGATCTTAACTTCGAAATTGTTGCTGGGTTATGATGAAATCGATTTTTTTTTTATGTTAATCGATTTTAATTCTTTTTTTTTCTGGGTTTTTTTTTTATTTTAATCGATGTTTTTTTATGTTAATCGATTTTATTTCGTTTTTGTTTCTTATTTTCTGGGTTTTTGTTTTAATCGATTTGTTAATCGATTTTAATTCGTTTTTTAATTTTTTAAATTTCTGGGTTTTTTTTTGTTTAATCGATTTTTTTTTATTTAATCGATTTTATTTCTTTTTGTTTTTTATTTTCTGGGTTTTTGTTTTAATCGATTTTTTTTTATTTTAATCGATTTTAATTCATTTTTTTTATTTTCTAGGTTTTTTTATTTTACTCGAATTTTTTTTTCTGGATTTTAATTTGTTTTTATTTTTTATTTTCAGGATTATTTCAATTCGTTTTTGTTTTTTTATTTTCTGGGTTATTTTCTGGATTTTAATTCGTTTTGTTTTTTATTTTCTGGGTTAGTTTAATTCGTTTTTGTTTTTATTTTCGGGGTCTATTTTCTTTTTTTAATTGAACGATTTCCCATAATATTGTTGAAATAAAAATCAATTCCCATAATACATTGATTTAATAATAATTTCCCTACATAGTGTCCACGTAGGATCGTTTTTTTGCTTTTGGTTCAACTTAAAACCGCTAATGGTAGTAGCGGTTTTAAAAAAGAGACTGCCTCTAACAATAACAGGTCTCTTTGCGTCCTTGGTTAATTCACAGGGCATAGTCTACAGGAAAATTATTTCAAAGAGACCGCCTTTCAATACAACAGGTCTCTTTGTGTCCTTGTTAATTCTTAGCCCACAACAAGAAAAGAGAGCGCTAGCAATTACAATTATAACTTCAAAGAGACCGCCTTTCAATAAAAACAGGTCTCTTTGACTTTATTTTACAAAAATTGCAAAACCGCTAATACCGTTAGCGGTTTTAAGTTGAACCAAAAACCAATCCTACGTGGACACTACTTTGGGAATTTGTTTTTAAAACGAAGCATAATGGGAATTAATTTCTATTTTAACAATATTAAGGGAAATCGTTCTTTTTAATTCGTTTTGTTTTTAATTTATTTTAATCGATTTTTTTTATTTTAATTGGTGCAGGTACATTGATGCAAGATGCAAGTTTATAGATTTAGATATTGTATGGGGTTATTTTTTATTGTGATGTTGTAAATTTTTTTTATTTATACTGTAATTTTTTTTTTATTTACATGTTGTAATTGATTTATTTTATTGATGTATATTGTATAACTTTTTTTATTATATATGGTAGAGATTTGATTATATTGATTTTACATTTTGTGTTCTTATTTATTTTAGTTTATTAAATTTTAAAGTGAAAAAAAGACAAAAAAAAATTAATAATTTGGGCTTTTTTGGCACCGGTTAACCGGTGCCAACCGGTGCCAAAAACAAGGATTAATTTTTTTTGGGTCACTTTAGGCACCGGTTAACCGGTGCCATTATCCATTTTTGCCACCGGTTTGAACCGATGGCTTTTCATCCAAGTAATTGGCACCCACCACATTGGCACCGATTCAAAACCGGTGGCATTGAGGGGTTTTGAACCGGTGCCAATTACGTTTTTTCACCTAGTGTCTTTCGACTACAAAAGTCTCTGTATGGCCTCCGACAAGCACCTCAATGTTGGTTTTCTAAGTTGGCCACCCCTCTGAAAAGGTACGGTTTTCTGCAATCGTACTTTTGTCACTCACTATTTACTCTACAAACTGGATCTATACAACTTAGTGTTCTAGTGTATGTTGATGATTTAATCATTGATGGTAATGATTCTTCTACTATTGCACAATTCAAATCATATTTGAGTGACTATTTTCATATGAATGATTTGGGTGTGTTAAAGTATTTTCTTGGTATTGAGGTTGCACGTAATTCGGAGGGCATATTTTTGTGTCAAAGGAAATATACTCTTGATATTATCGCAGAGTCTGGTTTACTAGGGGCACGCCCGGCAGGTACCCCTATTGAGCAAAATCATACTCTGGCAACTTCAGAGACCCCTCAGGTTGCAGAGCCCGAAATGTATCGGCGTCTTGTGGGTCGTCTGATATATTTGTCTTTCACTAGACCTGATTTGGCATATACTGTTCATATTCTGTCACAATTTATGCAACACCCTCGTCAGGCTCATTGGGAGGCTGCTCTGCGCACAGTTCGTTATTAGAAGGGTTGTCCGGGTCAAGGGATATTATTGAGTTCGGATTGTGACTTGCATTTGACAGGTTGGTGTGGTGCGGATTGGGCTAGTTGTCCTTTGTCGCGCCGTTCTATTACTGGTTGGTTGGTGTTTCTTGGTAACTCTCCTATTTCTTGGAAGACAAAGAAGCAGGATATTGTTGCTAAATCTTCTGCGAAGTCAGAGTATCGTTCGATGTCTAAGGCCACTGATGAGTTAAAGTGGTTGAAAGCACTGATCAAAAGTTTGGGAGTTTTACATCCGCGAGCGATGAGTCTTTTTTGTGATGAGTCTTTTTTGTGATAGTCAATCTGCGTTGTATATTGCGCAGAATCCGGTCTTCCATGAACGTGCTAAGCACATTGAGGTTGATTGTCATTATGTCCGGGACGCAATTCAGGATGGGATTATTAGTACGTCATATGTGAAGACAACAGATCAACTAGGGGATATTTTTACTAAGGCGTTGGGCAAGTCTCAGTTCTTATACTTACTTGACAAGTTGGGCATTTGTGATATGCATGCTCCAACTTGAGGGGGTGTTAGACCTTGTATTATATTTAGCTAATGGGCCAATGTTAAGCCCTAATCTCTTCTCCTAGGTTGTATATAAATATTGTGAATACCGTAATACAACACACAGAAAATCATTTACACTAATCATCCTCTCTAATTTGACATATATGATTTTCTTTAACTTGATTTATTTTAATTAAATTTTGTTCTGCTTAAACATTGTTAGTATGATCTTGAAGTTGTTCTTGATGATTTCTCTCAATTGAATTCTGCATTTTCGATTTTCTACGTTGATTATACCTTTACCTTCTAAATGACTTATTAATGGCTAATTAAGAGAAAGAAATTAATGGGTGTTTGATTATTAGTTCGTTCAACTTGGCATAATGTAGAAATGTCGAATATCAGCTTGTTATATGTTTTTGTTCTGCTTAAATTATTGTTAGTATAATCTTGGTGTTGTTCTTTGATGATTTCTCTCAATTGAATTCTGCATTTTCGATTTTCTAGGTTGGTTATACCTTCGAAACGACTTATTAATGGCTAATTTAAAGAAAGAAGTTAATGGGTGTTTGATTATTAGTTCATTCAACTTGCATAATGTAGAAATGTTGAATATTTGCTTCTTGTATGTTTTGTTTTTCTGCTGAGTATCAGAATCTTGGTGATGTTCTTTGATTATATCTTGTTAACTGGTTTTGATGATTTATCAATGGGGAGTTAAGAGAAAGAAGTAGGTGGGTGTTTAATCTGTTTATTAATTTGTTGGTTCATTCAATTTAGCATATTATAGAATAAATCAACGTGACATGCTTGTCTCATTTTTTAGTAACGTTTCCACGTTAGTCGACCCCAAATCATTTTTGGAGTTACGATTTTCTGTTGTTGTTGTTATGTAAGTTCTTGATCGGATTTGTATCACTTTGTTTTCTTGACATGAGTAGCATTTTCTAAATGTGGTTTAATTTTTGGGTTTTTCAGTAGGATCCTATGGATGAAGATTTTGGGTCTTTTATGCAGCTTTTAACCAATTCACAGCCTTAGTAGCCAAACTGGTGTACATCTTGGGTCCAATATGCAACCTCTAAGAAATCTGCAGTCAAATAGCCAAACTGATGAAGAAGTTACTTCTCGTCTACAACCTCTTAGAAACCCGCACTCTAATAGCCCAATTGGTTCAGAATCTATGAGGAAGAAGCTCAAAGAGGCTAGCCCTTGCCACAACAATTACCCTCCTATGTTTCCTCGCCATTCTCCAGCAATTCTAAATTTCAATGGAGTTGAATCTGGTACTAAGCAACAACAGCAGCTAGTGGTAGGCCTGGAAGCTTCTGCAAGTAATAATACTAATGTTGCACTTGATCCTTCCCCTTCTGATGCGGGAGCAATAGACCAATATGGGTATTCTTGAAAATTCATGGAATTTTAAGAAAGCCTACACTATCTTTTAGTTATTACGGAGTATTAATTGTTAGGATTTTTGCCTATGGGTTTTTACCTTTCACTTGAAAGGATTTTTCCTATTTTTAGGCTTTAAGAGTTTTAGCCATATATATTTATTTAATTTATTTATGTTGGGATAGATTTTGTAGTTGGTTAAAATATGATTAGTAGATATATTAGGATTAGGATTCTTAATATTTTCTCGTTTGATTGTTAATCAAAAACATCACTTGTTGCGACTTGTGATCATCTTCTAGTTGCGACTAGGAAGAGACCCTCTATTCCTGCGAGAATTAGAGTACTATCCTTTTAATTTTCGTGTAATTTCTTTAGCCCTTATTAAAATCTGAAGATCCAATGTTATTATAGCTTGCGAGCCTTGTGAGAATCTTGAGAGATCCACATCACCTTCTAATCCTAGAAGTCTCCCGTCACAAAGCTTGTTGAATCCTGGTTTTAATCGAGCCCCATCACATCAGTTGTTGCCTCGTTTCGTTTCCCCAAATCAACCAGGAGTAAGCTCACAGCAAAGGCCGAGGATTCAACAATCTGATCATGTGATTCCCAGTATTGGAAGGCCTCGTTTGATTTCCCCAAATCAACCAGGAATAAGCTCACAGCAAAGGCCGAGGCTTCAGCAATCTGATCATATGATTCCCAGTATTGGAAATCAGCAGGGACTTGCATACCCTCATTCAGGTATGCTTGAGGAACCTCTCTTGTTGTGTTAGATAAGCACTTTGTTACTCATGATCCGTTGATTGTTTAATGTCATCATTGGAATATGAGTGCCTAGTAGATTGGGATTTTCTTTAAATTCAATGAAGTTTTCATGTTACCACAACTGCTGTAACAAGCTAACAGAGTAACAGCTTACTTTAAGGCTTTTTGCAAAAAAAAAAAAACAGAAGTTCAAATTGAAGTTGCAATTCTATTCTTGAAAAGACAGGACTAACATCCTAAATGGCAAAAAGTTCATATTTGTTTTCAAGCAAGATGTACTTGTGTTTTTGTACTTGGGATCTTTTTGATAGTCGGCTTATTCTGTTGTTCTAACTCTTCTATTAATATGTTGAATTTGACATATGCAACCTAATTGCTTATGAAAATGTTGAGCATATGCGTCATGAATTGGTATTGGGTATATGTGCAAATGGACAATGGAATTCCCTTTCTTCGAGTTATGAACTGCAGCAAAGTGCACCAAACCCAATGAAAAATTTCTCATCTGCTTCATTTCAGTCATCTCAAGGAGTAAATGCAGAGCCATACATTTGGAATACTCGAGAGCGTAACGATCTGATCATGAGCGAGGTCTGATTCTAATTATTGACAGTCAAATTTTTGTATAAGTAGTTTGGTACCAAGACATAATAAGAGTGAGAATAATAAAAAATAAATAAATAAAGATATAAGCAAGTGGAGATGCATTTCAAGGAGCTTATGTCTTATTTTGTATGCAATATTGCAATGCACCATTGTAAGACCACTTGTGAAATTCATGTTCGTTTTCTTGATTTACTATCTTATCTTGTGCTCTTAAAAGTCATTAGGAGCTTTTCGTTAAATAAGATTTTATTCTGTCTTATTTTGTATATGCAATGCACCCATTAAAGGTTTCCTGAGTAATTCTGTCCTGTAACATTCTTGTAATTGACATGCGCAGGTAGCGACGAATTCAAACTTTATATATCTTCATCAATCGATTGATAGCTTGAAATCTGAATTAATTGATTGCAAAAGTCAAATTAGAACACTAGAGAGAGTATTAAATAATCTGCAGCAATCACAAGGACAAATGGATGAATGCAAAAGATACATTAAAAGGCTGGAGGAAGGATTAAATAAATTGAAGCAAGCACAAGGAAAAATTGCAAATGACATACGGTGTATTTCTGCAGGACTAGCATCAGAAAAGAATACATCAGGAAAGTCTATTCCTTCTACTGGTCTAGTACTGTAGTTAAATCTCATCAAGGAGGCAGTATCACTTCTTCTAACAATATCCTCGCTAGAGCTTTTCAAGATGGTCAAAAAATAGGTGATTCGAACAATAAGATGCTGGATGAAGTGAATCCACTGGTTCAAAGTTCTTTGAGCTCAAGAAAGAAGATCAAAGCTGGTGAACAGTCCAAGGTACCGGTTAACATGGCTGCAAGGGAAGGGTCGTCTGCTACTGATATGCACAGAAATGAGTTTACTACAGAATAAGGCATAATAGCAGGTGAGAAGGAAAATGCTAATACTTCCATAGATGGCAACACTGGGGATTTTCCAGTTTTTTATCAAAGTTCAGCTGATGAAGATCTTGAGGCATTCTTTAGGTCAATTTGTTAATGTTCACCTCTTAGAATCTTAAATAGTTAAATTTCTTTTGACTGTGCAGCCTTTTTCTCTTTTGTAGCTGAATTTTGTACTGTCTCCATTCATACTGTTTTAATGCTATCATTTGAAATGGGGCTTAAAATTCTATGGAGTTTTTTTCTTTTCTTTTTTTTTTTTGGAGGGAAGGGGAGGGGGTGTTAGAGAGGGATAGGAGATTATAATAAGTACAGGAATTTCCTAGCATGCACTTAACTGTGCAATTAAGCAGGTGTTATCCGAATTGGTATGTACAGATTACAGTGCCTTTTTGTATGTAATACGGGCAAACAGAAACAAGCATGTATGTAAACGACTATTTGATTGTTCATTTTTCCTGCTTTTGTTTTGTAATCAATTACTTATGCCTTTGCATAAATGCTGCCGTTCTTGATTCTCTCCTGAGTCTCCTCACATTGTATAGGTCAGTAAAAGCAATTTATGCATTATTTGAATGACTAGCATGTTGTTGGTCGTCAAAATTCTAGCGTCGAATACAAGTGCTTTAGTTCCATACCATACCAATTCAGTAAACTACAACCTTGTGTTCAGATAGGCGAGAGTATATAAAGTAAAATCAGCTCATGAGCAAATTAGACATAAAACTTTGATAAGAACACAAGTACTTTGTAAACTTCAGCAACTTTAGCATTTGGTTTACTCTGACATTGCTGTTAAGCATCTTTTCATGGATATGGCACTTGATCTATTGACAGTGATTCTTGAACCACATTGCAATATTAACAAAGCTCTCAACTTCAGATTGAGGCCTGCAACCAAATAACCAGAATACAAAAGGAGGATAACATGAAAAGAACGTGTACAGAATATTAGGGACTCAAGTGTACAAAGGAATTTAGATTATAATAAGACTAGCATTTTACCTGGATATTTCATGTACGTCATCAGGAAACATAAATACCTTAACCTCAATTCCTCTCTCCTTTAGTGCACGCGCATACTAGCAGAGTGAATAAGCACAATCAATCATTTTTTACACTTAATAGAGATAAATACGCCAAATCAACCTATACAATCTTAAACCAGTTCTAGACACCATTAACTTCTAACAGGATTGATTGGTCTCAGAGCCTAGGATAAATTGGCTTTCATATAGCCAGCAGAAATTGATACTTTGTTAGTAAATGCTAAAAGTAATGATAGTTCACAATCAATGTTGGTCTTCCAAGAACTGCTAAACATGTTCTTTCTTAGAAAAAAACTGGAAAGCATCATGTAAAATATGTGCAATAAGAATCTATATAATTGTGTAATTGGGAGGACAATAACTCACTTGCAATCCATCAGGAACAGGAACTCGAAGATCCTGGACAACTAAAAGAAACAGTGTAGGTGCTTTGACCTGCAAAGTTGACAGACACATCTCATTTATTCATATCTTATTTAGGGATGGAATGAAGCTCACTATTAACTGACAGAAGATGAGAATGTCAGAATATTAGAATTACTCATAGCATGGCATTTCAACAATAATTACAAGAGCTGCTGGATGACAAGATCAGAAGCTGTGCCATATATATACCTTATGGACATGCGAGATAGGGGACTTATCATATAAGATATTCAGATTGTCCTTAGGTGGTGCTTCTGTAAAGTACGTTTTACCATCACTTCCATAAGCATTGACAAAGCACCAATCAGGAATATCAGTAGTTCCAACCATCAAAGCAAGGTTGCAAACAGGATTCCAGACTGCTGCTACCGAAAATTTTTCAGGGGCCTGCAGCACAAAAATGTTCCTTAAGGCGCTTAGTGATTTCCTTTTTCTTTCCAGAAAACTGATCATGTCAAAGCAACCAATGGGTACACCAAAGCTAGAACACAACTAATCATTGTTCCCTCTTTTAAGAAGGTTCCTAAAGTTTCTATCCACAAATAACTTTCATAACATGTCTTGATTTTGTAAGTTTATTTATTGATTTTTTTTTTCTTCATTGCAGCAATATATTATCTCAAGTTCTTCAATAGTATCCTTTCTGACAAACTTTTATCCCATTCAAAAGCTGAATTATTACTTCCTTAAAAAACAATAAAAAGTGAGTGATAGTTGATGGAGAAACTTCATGATAGCTGTTTGACAGTTTAATTTGAGGTAAAGTTACACAAGTATTTTTCTTTAACAAAAACATTACAGATAGCACGAATGAAACAACAAGTCACATGAGTTAAAAGGCTTAGAGCTACCACCAAATACCGAAATCAGACCAAGTATAAAATTAATATGAAGTATAACTTAAGAGCCCATATTAGCAACCTTTCAGAAAGTAAGCAGTTGAATAGGATTATAACCTGTATCATGTATTGCTAAACTTAGATGCAAATTAAAAAGAGGTATGAAACACTGTATGGAAAGCTTAAGAAAGGGCCACTGGAAAGATACATGTGATTATATTAATTATCAATACGTCACGCAATCACGAAGAAAAACCTTAATGTGTACCTGCCCAATAAGTTGGGCACTCAGAAAGCCACCATGGGAACCACCAAACACAGCAATTCTAGGTGGTTCAGCCAATTTTAAGCCGACAACATGATCTATTGCAGTAAGCACATCATTGACGTCCTGCAGAAAAAACTTTAGTTTTGATTTCTTTCACTTTGTTGGTATATGATCACAATATCCACAAAGCTATAGAAACTTGATGACGTGCAAATAAGGAATTGGAATTTGCAATAATGAAACCGGACCTGTGATCCAACATTCCCGGGAAGAGACTGCAGTGCTTCTTCACCAAATCCCAGAGAGCCTCTGTGATAGGATGCAGAAAGTGGCTTAAATTAAAGGTCATTAATGCACAAGGCTCAATGACACAACAAAAGTAATTAACAAGCAATTGAACTGCTATTTGGACATTACAAGAAGAATGACCCGATATCTTGTACTCATAAAATCAAGGTATACTAGTTAAGAAGATAACAAAAGTAGCCACTGTAATGAATAGAGGGGAAAGCTTCCTTGGAAATAAAAAGTAGAATTGTCCAATATTCTCAATGCAAGTATTTTAATTTTAGACCATTTCTCTCATGCCCTTTTTCAGCTCTTTCTCAGGCTTGGGGACGTCGGGGTTGTGATAGAATATAATATAATCAAATAAGTAGATGGCTGGGAAAAAATTGATTACCGATAATTAACAATTAATAGATTATAACCAGTTGATGCCAAATATGCCGATGTCTGAGAGAACTTTGATGTTGAGACATCATGAGGACCTCCATGAAGAACTGTAATCACTGGATTACAAATGTCGTTCTTTGCAGTTGAGGAGACAAATATAGCTTCAAAAGGTTTACTTGCTCCTGTTACAAAGATTCAACATGAAGAAACGAAAACAGATAAATCATGCAGTGGAAGATATTTGAAGCAGCAGAGACAGCTCACAGTCGAGAATTTTGCATTTTCGAAAGCTGAAGTAAAAATGCAGACATTTGTACATGCATATTGTTTGCTAGTAATAACATGGGAATTTGAAAACAAAAATGTATCAATTCTAAGCATGAATGTTAATCTAACAGAGAAACTCCAAGTGAAAACCATTCATGCAGTGATGCAACTTAGCAGAAGACATAATCTTTGATTACCTTCTGTACAGTTTTCCAAAATATGTCTTACTGGAATCTTCATTATACTGAATTGAAGGGATGAGAGGCGAGATGAAACCTGTAAAAGGATTACACCAAAAGATGTAATCCAGAGTGATCTGTATCAAGTTATCGACTGTATACATGTTGAAAATCACTGTACTTGAAAGTATTAGTTAGATGAGAATGAGGATATAAACCTCCTTGGAACATCTGAAGAGGGGGCTCGGAACATCTTGCCAATTCCAACGGGGCATTTGGGACTTGCTGCTTAAGAAGACACCCATACTTAATTCGAGGAATATCTACAGGGCTGCTGCATACTTCAAAATGACGAGCAAGATGAGTTGTCTTATAGTTAAGCAGTTACAGAGACTAGAAATAAATATCATTATACATACCAGCAATGATATTATCCTCATCAAGCGAAAGAACCTCCCATGAGGAGCTTGAATCATGGGGAGTAATGCGTGACAAGTTCCCACTGCAGGATTAAAAAGATGCATATTAGCTGAAAATTTTCATATTAAGAAGACTGAAATACTGAATGTTTAAGTGGAATCAGAAACCTCTCTACATCCACAGAAAGTAGCACTTGAGTGCTCCTCCAGATCGAGGATAAAATCATAGTACGCTTATCAGAAAGCCATGGATTCATGAGGATGCTGGGAAAATATAGTCCAGGGAAGCAACCATTCTCCGCAGACATCACAACAGGAACCTACGATAGTGAGACCAAACATTTGTGTGTTAATGTGGAACAGAAAATTATCACAACATAAATGACACCAATAACTCTCTTAAAAAGGTAATGATTTGAAACAATATTGTTCATAAATTACTCTGTCCATGAATAACATGTTAAACAGTACACAATGCTCTATCCAAAAGGTTACTCTGCGAAGTACCCATACCAAATTTGCAGGCCAGCATACTGCAAATTACATAACTATGTGCACAAGGGAAAAGAAGGAAGAAAAGAAAAGAACTATTTCGATGAAAATTAAAGGACTGCCATGAACAAACTTGATATTGAAGACAAAAGACCTAACCACATCAACAATTTGTAGCACATTTGGCTTCCCATCACTTTGCCAATCAACTCTATGAAGTGAAAATGTAGCATTGTGTGCTCCTGATTCCACAGCACTTTTGGCTGATAAGAACACAAGAAATCTCCCATCTGGGCTGTCAAAACAACAGAAATACATTCACTTGGCATCCATGTATAATACACACTAAGAATAGTC